GGCATACAAGTGATACACAGACATACATGCAGGCAAAACACCTATACATTAGGTGCGATTGATACTAAAGACCTTATAAGAAAGCTGGCCAGAGATGAACAGAAGACATAAAACATATAGTCTAATAAATATTTTTGTCAACAAGGATCATTTTTTAATTAAAAAAAATGTAACTTTGTTAGCTCCTGCTTCCATACTAATGACAGCGTTACAGAGGGAGCAGGGTGCTCCCACACATTGCCAGTGTGGGGATACTTGGGGGGCATATTTCTGAAGGGCAATTTGAAATATGTTTAAAACCCTAAAAACACGCATGCCTTTTTTTTTCTTACTAGTTAAAACAGGGGCTATGTTATGCTGCAGTAAAAAAAACACCAACCCTGAAATCCCAGAGGTAAAAGCTGTAAGGTTTATCTCTGCTCAGACCACAGGTCCACATGTAGGTTGGTGGGTGGGGTGGAGAGAAAGGAGCTGCCCCATGTCCCATACAGTCAGTCACTCAAGGACCCAGGCTGGAAGACGGTCTACCCCTGGGATGTCACTACTTGCTAAGGCAAAGGATCAGGGACGCTTTACAGTCCTAGCTCGAGTTTCATGCATTCCTTCTGCTCCTATCTCATTGGCTGGATTCACTCACAGGGTCCCAAATCACTGACCACAGCGGGGCTGGTGAGTGGAGTCTCTCATGTCTAGGAAGGAAAGGAGCCCCGGTCTGGAGATCAGGGAAGACTGGTTTAGTGATGGATTCTAAGTCAATATTCTGAACAGTTTACAAAGATGTCAGAACAATTTCATGGTGTCCTGACTACAAGGGTAGAAAATCGGAAACAGCTTAGACATCCAAGGTATGATTCACACAGAGGTTAAAAAGCAGTAGTTTCGTATCTACTGACGGAGAAGTCCATTCACAAGTGTCGGAGGGGGTGAGTGGATTACGTGGAGAGTGTGCATGAGATAGTATGTCACGGAAAAGGAACAGGAGCGGCTGTGCGGGGAAGCTGACGAGCCACGCGTGTTAACAGTGGTTACAATCAGACGGTGGAACAACAGATGATTTTTTTGTTCCTTTTATCTTTAGTTTCTTTTTGTAAAAAAAAAAAGTATCTATTACTTATATTCCAAAAAAGCATTTCAAAAGAAAAAAGGTGTACTCCTGAAATAGTTTGCTTATCCAATCCATACTTAGCACTAAGCTCTTATGGAGATGTAAGAAATTCATGAGACATTGCACAAGGGACTGAAAGTCAGGCCTGCCTATCAAAAGAGGTACGGGGCAGGGGGAGGGGAGGGTGGAGACAGCCATGTATCCCCAACAGCTGTGAAGCATCAGTCTCCTGCCACCCTCTCGACCAAGTGCACAAGCGTAGACTCCACTGTGGCCCACCTGGGCTTCTGGAGGGGTCCCTGTGACCCAGAGGCCACTCACTCTGCAGCAAGGGCTGCACTGTCACTGAAGACCCACAAGGCCTTGAAAGCGAAGTCCAGAACATTCAGCATCACCACCAGAAATACTCCAAGACGCCTTCTGGTTACGGAGCTGGAGCTGATCTCTCCTAGGTGTTACCCTGGCTTTCCGTCAGGCTGTCTTCCCCGCTGCATGTGCATGCACACACGCATGCATGCACATGCGCGCGCGCGCACACACACACACACACACACACACACACACACGGACATTTGACACAGCTCAGAATTCCTACCAAAGTAGGAATTCTTGCCAGATTTGATTTTAAAGAGGGAAGGTGTAAGGAAAAGACATGAAATCATTCACACTTCTGCTCAGGGCTCTGCTCCACGCCGTCACACCCACTGTCCCCAGAATATCGTCTATTTCTTTGGGGAAGCCACGTACTCAGAAGTCTCGGTCTATTTAAATCATGCCTACTGCTCAAAATATGTACGGATGGACGTTGACTGGAAAGCTTCTGGTTTGTGTTGCAAGTGCTTCAAACTCCAGTGGGGTCCCCCTGAATTTTGACTGTAACTTCTAGTGACTCACTATCAGTTCTTAGCAAACAGCAGTGGCTGCCGCTCCCTGAAGGGGAGCTCCAATCAGGTCGCCTTGTTTCCAAGAAGGCGCCTGGCTACCACACCTGAGGTTCAAGTTGGGTCTCATTCACAGTTGCCCCTGGCGTCTGCAGGAGAGGGGATTTGTCTATAGGAAAAGAGCCCCTGCAAAGTGGACACGATGCCTTACGGCCATACACGGACTATGTGACACGCCACCCTTTTTTGATGTCTCTCATCCAATGTAGTACATGCTCCTGCCCATCACATAGCTGAAGGCCGTGGCTGTGGAGCCTGCAGGCGGGAGAGTAGCCGCCCCTGCGGGCAGCTCATGCATGCAAACTGCTCTAAGCACTGGACAAGCAGCGGCTCCCAAGCTGTGGCTCATCTGGACTGACCACCTCTGGGCCGGAACACCGTTTATGTCTCTGCAGCCAAAGGCCTGCTGCCTACTTGAAAAAGATGAGTGTGCGCCCATGAAAACCATCAGTAGAGAACTTAAAGCCAGTCTGTGTTCTACCAAACTGGCCTCTCAGAGCACAGAGGTTACTGAAGAGTCCCCTACAGACCAAAACCATTCAGCAACGGGCCTCACTATGTCTGGTGAGCGGAAGCACGATTCGGCCTCAGTCCCCTGCCAGCTGCCCCGTGCTGTGGACACACACTGAAATAATACAGTGTGTTTTTACTAGGGCAGACGAGTATTTATTTCTTCTTGGTATCTAAGAAACATCAAAGGAGAACCACGATACGGTTCTGAGGAGAACAGCGGACCAAGGTACAAGAGACCCAAGAGCCCGTGCTGCTGGTCACAGCTGGGGTCCCCTGGGCACTCCACTCTGCCTCAGCTTCCTGCTGATGATCTCTACCAAGTTCTCTCCCGCAATGGAGGTCTACAGTGACAGCTCGTGGGGGGATGATCTGAGGGCTAGCATGGGCTCTGTGTGGCTCTCCCAATCTGTGCTTCTAGTTACATCCCTGAGGCACCAGAAGCAGGTCCTGTCCCTACCAGCCTTGAGTCAGAAATGCACACGGGTGACGGTTAAAGGGTTCTCCGAGTTTTCCTCGACCTCTTTTAGGCCCCGTGTGAATGGCTGCAGAAAGCCAGCTAAGTAAGGCACAGACTGCCAATCTTGGAGTTGTCAAGGCCAGGAGAGCTCAGGGGACACCTGGTTCAGAGGCGGCACACCGCAGCAGTAATCGCTGGGAGTCAACAGCTCACTGCCACCTGCACAGGGTTTGAGGTCATGACAGCAGTCCCAAGGCTGGGCCGGACATCACAGAAACTGAAGGCATGTCACATCAGTGTGAGCGGAGACCTAACAATTAGTGGCTCGTTTGCTCTGTACAGAGCCCACCTTTTGCAGTGCTGGAGGTTGTATTCAGGGTCAGCCTCCTATTGGCCACCCAGGCTGCTTCTGGGTCACGACTGTTCTCAAAAAGAGAGCAGACGAAGAAACATGAGCTCTTTAGAGAAAGCAGGTGGAAGGGAAGGCCAGTGCTTAGTCTTGCACATGTTTGCTGTGGAGCCTAAATCACCCTGCGAGAGGTCCTGGGCCCTCAGGCTCCTGGGTTGCGGCAGTTTGGGGGATGCCCCAAAACTCTAGTTTCCCCACCTGCTGGCTACGAGAAGCTGCCAGACTCTTCAATGGCTAACGACAAGAATCACGGACTCGACCCACTGTGGTACTGACTTCCAGAACTTTCTGCATTTCCATTTTCAGCGCTTGTGGAAGTCACTGTCATGAGGACGAAGAAGGGGCTTTAGCAGCTATGTTCATACGGCCCTGTCGCCAGTTCACACCCTCGCCAGCCAAGAGCTCCTTTTACATGTCTACGTCTATCTCCCTGTGAAGCCCAAGATGAGGATCCCGGAGTTCATTGCTCCTGGGCAGCCATGTGCCCAGGCTGCTGACAGACAGGGAGGCCAAGATGGTCTAAGAAGAGAGCCCCTTACCCAGGCTGGGTCATAGCCAGCCTAGTCTTTGTGCCCTAGTGGACCAGCACGAGCTGCTACTGATGAGACCTATTGGGAGCTGCAGGGGAAGGCGGGGCCAGTCACACCCTGGGGTGAATTACATCACAGGTGACCACTCTGATTGCACAAGACACCACAATTTGATGGGTCCCCTCTTAACACACCTGAACACTCCATATCGCCAGCCTTCCTTCCTTTCCCATCCCAATTGAGTTCCTTGACCAGAGTGACTGCTACAGCAGGGAAAGATGAGGCCTTGGAAGTCACCACGGTGCCCGGGTGGCGAACATGCCAGCCCGGCCCCTTCCTCAGGCTGTCTGCATGAACCAGAGTTCATGCAAAGTCACGAGGATGAATTCCTAACTGTGTGAATTCCTATCTAGAGGGTTCTTAGAGAGCTAGGGAATACCAAAGTTCCCCCTGACCGGGGCATTTAGAAGGGTATTCCGTGGGCATCTCTTAAGGAAGGATGCCTGTGAGTGGATCTGAGCGCCCAATGGCCCCACTAGAAAGTCTGTGAGAGGAGAGCTTTAGGGCTCCAGGTCCTTCCTTAGGACCTAAGAAAGGGAAGGCAGAGCCGGGCAGAGCAGAGCTGCTCTGTCACCAAGGCCAAGGGCTGCCACCTGAGCAGCTCTCTTACCCTCATGGCCCGTAGGACATCTTCTTGGTTGTTCAAGCCCATTATAGGAACCCGGCTGAGCTTCTAGGCCCGTGGTAGCTCCTATCCCAGGCTCTCCCAGGATCCTAGAAGCCTCAGACTATAGGCACTCTGCCTAGAAGAGAAGGTAGTTCTGAAGGCAATGGCCTCTATGGGGATCATGGCTAGGCACCCTGCAGGAGGGTCACTCCAGGGTCAATCCATTGCCGGTGTCCCTCCTCAGAGCCATGTCTGGGTTTGCCTTCAGCAGCCTGCATTCCCCGCAGGTCATCTCTTCAGCCCAGGGGAGATGGTGCATGACTCAACAAGGGCCTGAACTCTGCTGTGGGATCCGATTAAAGCGCTAAGTTCTGCTTATATGTTTAATTAACAAATGTTTATTAAGCACCTATGGTGTGCCCAGCAGTATGCTAAGCACACTCCTGCATCCGTTCCCACAGCGCAAGCATAGGCTCGGAAATAGAGACAAAACAAGAACCAACCAACCAACAACAGAAAACAAAAACAAAACAAAACAAAAAAAGAAACACAAGAGAAGAAACACTGCCGCAACCGTAGTAATCGGGGGAAGATGGGGCACAACGGATACAGGTGATTTCCTGTCTGTAGGTACACCCCAAAACTTCTGGGCTTTCTTCCCTCTGGTAAAGTTTCCACTAAAGGTTAAACTAAAGGTTCCTTTCAAGAAGGTATGCCCGACCTACAGTCCGAGGCCCACATGTAGCCAAGGATAACTAAGAATGTGCTCCAACACAAAACAGTAAATTGACTTAAAACAGTGTAAGGTTTGTTTTTCTGACAAGTATTTCTCTGTGGGTAAGTCAGTCCTTGAGTGTCAACTTTATGGATGACGAAGCTGTTTCACAACGTCAAAAGGTTAGATACATCGGCTGAAGCATCAAAATGCAGACGGGGGGAAAAGATGATCCCCTCGTGTGCCCCGTGGACTAGAATCTGCCGGAGAGTCACACACCCTGAACGCTACTCAGTAGAAGGTGCCCAGTAGCCTGTTGTAAAGGACATTGATAGTTGGATTAGAAAATGCTGCCCCCCCCACCCAGTTCATAGGGTTGCAACAGCCCTTAAAAAAAAAAAAAAAGATATAAACATCCCTGCCTGACTGCATAAACGGCTAAGGTAGACCGAGTTCTGGATTCCTGAGTCAGAAGCTTCCAGTTGTCCACAACCTCACGAGGCCAGAGAAGCAAGAGATTTTCTATCCGGGAGGACTGGGTGGACGGCACGACTGGTCTGGAGACAGACAGGCTGCACCTGCATTAGCAGAAGCGACACAAATGGAGGATGTCCTATGCCTACTTCACCTCACACACACACACTTGCCACTCGTGGCCTGGCCTGGCCTAGTTATCCGCGCCTAGCTTGGAGAGTCCTCGGCGGAAGTCATGGAGGTCATCGATCTTGCCATCCAGCACCTCCAGGAAGCTCTTCAACTCCCCCTTCAGGTGGCGCTGTCGGTATTTGCTCTCCTCGATGTCTGTCTTTAGAGACCGCACTTTGTCTTCCAAGTTTTGATTGTCTCTTTCGGCCGCCTGACAAGATAAGAGGGAGAAGGGTCTGGAAGACAGCAACGGATGGAGGATGGAGCCACACTCAAGATGGCTGTGCCCTGATGTGAGTCCTGACGGTTCCCCAGGAGGAGTCAAAGGGGTAGGTGACCAACAGCTGGTCTGAACACCTCAAGCAGCAAGCAGAAATGCAGACTGCAAGTTCTATCCAGAGGACTTTCCCACAGACTCCAGCAGAGAAGCTCGGAAATCTGGGCCCCGTCCTGGAGCTGTCAGGAGAGACCGCCTTTTGTTATATCCTACCAAAGCCAGAACACAAGGGACAGTGACATGGCTTGCTTCCTTGGCTCCACAGAGCACTCCTTGGCTTCTAGCTGACCTCCAGTCCTTTGTGAGGGAGGACGCTTAACACCATAGAAGAGCTTTATCCTGTGGGCATGAACTACGACTTTCTTGAACACATGCCCAGAAACTGGTTATCGACACAGCCCTGGGGTTGTGTACGTCAGTAAAGTGTCCCATGTGTGTATCAAAGCGACTGAAGTGAGGCGACCCCTAGGGGTGAAGAAAGACCAGGAAGTTGATGCAGGTCGAAGGTCAGTACCCAAAGTCACAAGCTGGGGAGAGGCCAAGGTGGCCTTGTCCCTGACCCTGTACACATCTGCCCGTTCCTAATCAGCTGTGGTTCTGCAGGGATTTTTCTGTGGGTGAGAAAACAGTCACCCACACTCTGGTTGTGCACAAGACCCTTTGTGTAAACCTAACCCTGGGGAGGCATCCCCCAGGGGTGCTTATGACACATAATTACTAGCTTTGTTTTGTAAGGAGAAACCCACCCTTGACCCTCCTAGATGCAAAATTGGAGGAGAGGGGGGAGATAATGGATATGCCAATCATTCGGGACTGGGTCACACAATCACACCCCTTACCTCTAGTTTCTCAGAGACGTATTCACACTCCGACATGAGCTGAGGTATGATCTCACTCTGTTTCCGGAGGTCTTTCAACTCCTGGGAGAGAGAGAGATAGTTTTAAAAAGACACACACACACACACACACGCACACACACATTAAGAACACACTCTTGGAAATGGCTGAGCTGTGTGTGTACGAGTGTGTGCTGTTCTCAGAGCCTGTCTTGCTCACATGAACAACGGTGGGGGGCGCTCTTCTGAAGCCTCGATGACTCTCAGGGTTAGTGCATTAGATGGATCATCGCATAAAATCTGTACCCACGGACATTGCTGTTCCGTTGTGGGGAAAACTGAGGCCTAGGGCGGTTTCGTTAACTAGCCCATGTTCCAGTGTCATGGGCTTAACTTTCTGCCTCCCAGAACACAAATGACCGTGAGAATGGGCGTTCTATTGTGTGAGGCTGGCTCCGAACGCCCCTTCTACTGGTGGGTCATCTTTAACACCGCGTGGGGCTTTTGGTAAGGCTCCTGTCTCTTTTCTTCCTTCCCAGATAGCCCAGGCTGGCCTCACTGAAGATGGCCGTTGAACTCTGATCTTCCTGCCTCTACACCCAAGTTCTGGGATTACAGGTGTGTCACCGTGGTGGGTTTACGTGGTACTGGGGATCAAACCCCACGACTTCATGAGTGCTAGGCTAGCCCTCTACTTTTGGAGCCACACCTGCCACCCACAATTCTCTCTAGAGAGTCATAGGCACAATGCTGCAAGCAAGGGGCAGCATGAGGCTTTGGCTCCAGAGAAGCTGAACCACGGTGCGAGTCCTGGTTCTCTGCCCAGGTGGTCCCAGCGGTCCCAGGTCACCTGTCGTAACTTTGAACAGAGGTCACAGAGGTCGCCAAGGCCCCCAGAGCTCCTAACTCACCGTCTCCTTTTCCCGGAGCTCAGACTCCAGCTTCTCGATCCTGCTCTTCAGCTCAGTGTTCTTCTCCTTCTCCCTGTTTATCTCGCTGCACTGTTCTTCCAGCTGCTCGATCTTAAAGAACACGACAGGGCGGGGGAGCTGGTTCAGTCGCCAAGCATGAGCTCGCCATGACTTCTTTTGGGCTCTTGTCTCAAATGAGGCATAGACTACCCCACTTCCGTATTTTCCACAAACAGGTACCATGCTGTTCCCCTGGGCCGTCTGGCCCTGCTTGCCTGAGACTTGTTACTTAAGACCAATAGGGCCAGTAAGTCATGAAACGCGGCCTACGTGTTGGGCTTCTGGGTTTCTTTATGATCACATGGGAGTAGACTCAGGATTGCTTTGTGGATCTGTCACAGGCCAGAGGTCCCCTGAACTGATCCGCTTTCCCCAAGAATGGCTTTGACATCACCTTAATCACGTTTGGAATTATGCGTTTTCATCTCAAGGATTTAAGAGGGCAGCAGAATTTAGCAATGCTACCGGACAGGAAATCAAAGACATCTCAATCACCGCATATCAAGATGACCCCACCCACTGAGAGGGTCCTGCCTGGGGAACAGTGTATGGGGGTATCATCTTCAAGACGAACTAGAACACCCCAGGACTGCATCTTCTCGTGGGCCTGACCCTGCTAAAGGGTTAACCAGACAGAGGGGACGTACAGAGCCCTCAATACTGACTCCGTCACCAGTTGCTCAATGTTTCTTAGAAACCTGAATGTGTGTGCAGAGTGGACGGCAGGAGCGGAGCCAACATACAGTCCACAGCAGACACCCTGCGTTGTTACACCCAGACAATGCCAGCCTTTGACAGGAGGCCTCTTCCCAGCAGTGGCCGCACCAGCCCTCAGGACCTGAACCCTCAGCCCCCCTGACACTGATGATCCCAGCTTCTACCCCCAGCCTGGAATCCAGCACCCAAAGAGCTCATGCTAGGGAGGCCCATGCCCTCCTGGGCTCTGGTGACGTTACCCCACCCCTGTTGGCTCTGGTGACGTTACCCCACCCCTGTGGGCTCTGGTGACGTTACC